AAAAAAAAAAAAAAAAAAAAACAAATGAAACTTTATGTACTTTGGCTTCTACTGTTGAGGGAACATGAATTTCCATGAATGGAAGTCCTCACCTGTATCCCCATTCATTGTCGTACCAGGCAACGACCTTGAGCATATCGTCTCCCATTACCATTGTAAGTGAAGAGTCAATTGTGGAGGAAACATCAGTACACTTGAAGTCCACAGACACAAGAGGGATATCGCATACAGCTAAAACTCCCTTCAACGGTCCATCAGCTGCCTTTCTGAACGCAGCATTGACATCGTCGGCAGAGATGCCTTTCTTCTCAATGTTCACAACGAGGTCAACAACTGAAACGTTTGGAGTAGGCACACGAAGTGCAATTCCATTGAGCTTGCCCTTAAGCTGGGGCAACACAAGGGACACAGCCTTTGCTGCACCAGTGCTTGTAGGGACAATGTTCAAAGCAGCCGCCCTGGCTCGCCTCAAGTCACGGTGTGATGCATCTAAGAGTCTCTAAAAATAATCCCAAGAACATGACAAGAGGTCATAAGATTTTCTCTTTTTCAAGAATCATTTATCAGATCAATGTCATGGTGCATTCATAATGTGATGTTAATATCTTTTCCTTACCTGGTCTCCAGTGTAGGAGTGAGTGGTTGTCATGGTTCCCTTCACAATGCCTGGATTCAATCATATATCAAATGGTTAAAATCAGGAACCAGTGCCAGTTGGCCAAAACGAAACCGATTGCTTACCGAACTCCTCGTCGATAATCTTCACAAAAGGAGCAAGGCAATTGGTGGTGCAAGAAGCATTGCTGCATAAAAATTCAAACAAAAAACTTTAATTATCAGAAGCCTAAGTAACCAAACCAACCACAAACTATTACATGGCAGCTCAAAATCATTATTGACCTAATGATGTTTGCGACATCGTGGTGGTAATCTTTTTCATTTACCCCAACAACGTATGTTGGAATATCAGCACCCTTTGCAGGAGCTGTGATGATAACCTTCTTTGCACCTGCTTGGATGTGTTTCCCTGCACCTGGGCCATCCACGAACACTCCAGTACCCTGCAAGGGGACATGAATATGAACAATTGATCTTGGAGACGATCATCCGGTGATGGATAATCTGATAATTGATACCTCGATAACGATGTCGATGCCAAGCTCGGCCCAAGGAAGCTTGAGGGGGTCCCTGCTTGAAACAACCTTGATTGGCTTGCCGTCAACAGATATAGTTTCATTGTCCACAATTTTCACGTCTGCTTTGAAAGTTCCCAGCATGGAATCGTATTTGAGCAAGTGAGAGGCCTGAAAATTTTCATCCCAAATGGTAAAACTTCGGCTAACACTGTTCCAATAGATAGTTCTAGAAGAAACGTATTGCTTACATTCTTGACACCACCACTATCATTGACAACTACGACGTCAAGAGGCGAGTCTTTCCTACCATGCCAGCACCGCAGAAAGTTTCTGCCAATACGTCCAAATCCATTGATTGCCACCTTGAGTTTAGCCACTGTTTCTCCCCGAACAGGAGATGATCCTACTGCCTGCTATGAACAACATGTTTCATACTCTCATAAATTTTCTGAAACTACTGTGATCTCTCATGAAATCATCTAGAATTTCAAACTAGAAAAACAAGGGAAGAAAGGAAAAACCTTGGGGGTGAGTTGAGCAGCCACGATGTCGAAGAAAGATCCTTCTCTACCATTGTTGGAAAAGGTCAGGCAAGTGGATCTAAGCCCATTGAACTCAGCCACATCCAACCTCTGCACATGGCAAAACCAAAAGTAAAGTATGAGCACAGACAATCTGGTACAATTCAGTAGTTTGAGAGCAGAAGAGACCAACCTTGAATGAGCAGCGGGTAGGGAAAGAGTAGGAAGTCTTGGAAGGAAGCCTTGAGTTGGTGGGGATTCTAGTTGAAGCAAGAGCTGCATGAGTGGCCATGGCTGCTTACTCTGGCTAATACGTGACTCCACTTCACAAATATATATACATACATATATATATATAGATACCCTTTCCGAATCATACATGGAAGAGTAAGTGTTTTGTGGTGAGAAAGTTGAGGAGCAGATCATACACGAGATAAGGTACCATTTTTCGCCTTGCAAATTTAGGCAGCCTCTAAACCACAAATGTAACTTTCCAATAATGCCCTCAAGCTATATGTTCAGAATTTTCTTTCTAATCACTGCCTCTCATTGATTGATGGCGGAGAATATTGTTCCAAGTCAATGATTCATAACATATCCACCTCATTCCCACACCAAACGGAGAGAAGGGCCTCACTCTGGCTGAGCTGAAACAATAACATTTCACCTGGATGATAAAATGTTAATGGATGACAAAATTATTATGTTTTTTGAGCTGAAAGTCTCTTCATCACCTAAAAATTGTGTTTCTGCTTGCATCATCAAATGTTGCAAAAACTTATTTTGAGAAACAATGCCAACAATTCAAAAAATGCTAAACGATTCATAAAATGCAACTAGAAGGCGGAAGGGATGAAATAAGTGGCTTCCGAATACAAAACAAAGCCCGTTGTTCGTGTAAAAAATAGGAAACACGGCGCAGGAATGCTGTTCTACAAATCTATTAAACTTTATATGGAGCATTTGAGCGATCATAACGACACATTATGGAGCATCAAAGCTCGGGTTCAAATGTTCAAGAGAGAAAATTAACTATTATTCCAGGTCGCAGAGTTGTGAGCGGTGCAGGAAGACCAAATTTCAAATGGCAGGTTCAATTTCGTCAGAGTTCACGGCCACTCCATTTGGGGGATCGTCTGTCCGGAGCTGAGAAGAAACCTCATCAATCGCAGAGTTCAACTGTTCTATCTTCTGTGCCAGCACTTTTCTTGTTTTCTGCAATTTCAATTTTTAAAAAACACGTTCAACGAGCAAATACCCCCAGCAGAATTTTCAAAACTAAAACTACACAAGCACACTTTAACATCATTGACAAGAACTTGACGAGGCTTGGAAAGAAAACATACAAATTCATTTTTTGTGATATATGTGTGTGACCGCGCCGGCTTACATGTACCTCGACTCATATAAGAGGACAACCACTCGACCCTACTACGTTTGATGGTAAATAAAAACTAGTAGAATTTTAAATCCGATATAGGTGGCTACAATGATTTCAACTTGAACTCATTTTTTTCCGGCTTACTTTTTCACGGACCTTAATTATCACTCTTCCAACTCAGGGTGGTTAAGAAGGGTATATGATGTTGCCAATAAATAAAATAAAATCAATGCCTTCGCTAAATCAGTGTCAAGTGAAGACGAAATGTCCATTCAGGGGATAACTTGCAACAAAAAAAAAGACGAGTGATTTCGCACCTCTAAAGCTTTTTCTTCATCATATATGAACTTGGGAAGTTTCCTCATCAATTCTTTTCGATCTGTTCCAGCAAGTGCCTTGCTAATCTGTAATACAAGATCAACTCTCAGTGATGCAAAGTTGAAAGTCTAGGATTTCGAACTGAAAGCCCAGAGACAACAGTTGTGCATACTTCTTGGTAGATTGCTATAATATGTATCTTACATAATGTAGTATCCATAGCACACAAGTAACAGATATACAAGATGAATTTCTCATATGTACAATTTAGACCTTAGATAAGAGATGAGCAAAAGTCAAAAACCTGAGGGGCATATACACAGCCAAGCGTGCCAACTATGAGCCCTCCCAATACAAAACCTCCAACAAAAATGCCTGCATTGCTTGACCGTCCGCCATCACTGTCATAAGGTACACAATAATCTCAACTGCCATGACAATTTGCAACTTATACTAAATGCTATAAGAGATACTAACAATTGCTATGGACTGTACATTATTTTCAACCATACAGAGATTTATTATTATTATTTGAATAAGAAACGATGCTTTATAGACTAAACGAGACAGAAACAACCTAAGGGACCATTAGAGGTTTCCAATAATTAATAATCATCAAAATGCTGTAATTATAAAAAAAAATCGTGTGGTTGGAGCACCACGATGAAGCTATATGTACACTATTCCAAAAAGAATCCATGAAAAGAAGAGGCCTCTTTCACCTAGGAAACGAAGGATTTGAGCTAAATTTTCCAGATGGAGGCAGTCTCCTTGTATTTAAAAATCATATTGTTTTCCTCCTTGCAAATTAACAAAAGGAGAGCATGGACAGCACAATTCCACAGAATGTCGGCCTTGCCTCTAAACACTTGCGCCCAAATATAATAGGAACAAATGCTACACTCTCATAGGGAGGCATAACTCCAAGCCGGAATCATACAGAGTTTATAGATCAAATTCAACGACCATTTGATTTGATATCTAGAGTAGAATGAGTACATGCATTCAATATGTTGATTCAATCATTCTTTCACCAATTCAAAACTAAATTAATGAGACTCAGTTTTGCACATGGAAACCCAAAAAGGCCCATCCTTCGGTTTGGAAATCTGTTTGAACCAGTTGAACTGAATCATTTGAAACTGGTAAGATTCTTGGTTGTTGACTGCCTGAGATTAACACCTTCAATTTGGTTTAGTACGGAAATTCTTTTTCCAGAATTTGCACGCCCCAATGATAAGCCTACCCGTACAAGGATTCTAGACATGCATTCCTACCATGTAAAGAGACTTCGGAGACTATAATTCTATCATAAAATATGACTTAATGGCATGTTGTTTAAGTACCGATTCCGTAGATTATACCTATATGCAGCTTGAACTGAAAGTGGCCGCCTGGATGTAGAAAGCTTCGCCTTTCCAACCCAACCAGGATTGAGTAACAAGCTGGTGGGAGACACACTCCCCAGAAGTTTATCAGCAGTTTTCAGATTTGATCCTGGAAAAATAACTTGCGAGCAAATTTAGACTAATAAAATTTAAGTGTCCATACATTTATACTCCCCCCAATTCTTCCAAATTATGAAAATGAGAGCAACTATGTACTAGTCAAATTCAATCTTCCAAGAGTTGAAAATTTTTCATTGATTTGGAAATCAGGACATCATGTTCACGTAACAGAAACGAATAGAATAACCGAGCATTTCGACAGCAATCGAGAAAAGATAAACAGCCAACCGCAAGCTTCATAACAATAGGGAAAATACACGGTTCCCGCACAAATTTCCCATGGAACAAGGCGGTTTCTACCTATAACACTGCCGATTTATGAGATAAGCAGATTGTGAAGGGTAGCAGGTAGCCACCATTTGAAGCTCGGTGTAATTCAAGAGACAAATTACAAGAAAAACCAATAGTATTCAACAGCAAAAATCTGAGATAAGATCAAATGCTGCAGAAATTAGAGAGTAAGAAGAATTACCAGATGATAACTGGAGTTGAGGGTTTTTGGTTGAAACCAAGGAATTAGATATCGCAGCCATCGGTGAGTCCCAAAAATGACCTGAAGAGAGAGAGAGAGAGAGAGAGAGAGAGAGAGAGAGAGAGAGAGAGAGAGAGAGAGAGAGAGAGAGCGAGAGAACGGTTGAAGGGCCAAAACAGTTTATCACACTCGAAAATATTTCTTGTTCTTGTTCGATAATGTCGATGGCCATGGGGAAATTATCCGGTGCATTGCGATTACGATAATTCCCATGAGCTCGTGTTTTCCCGCTTTGTGATCCAGGCCCATTTCGTAAGCCCATACTTGCCTTCTCTATGGACCCGATGTTTTCAGGGCATTTGGCCCAACTTTTATTTTACTAACTGTCATTTGTTTTCGTAAGCCCATATTGTTTTGGAGTTTGTTAATATTTATTTATTTTAATCTTCTTTTTAAATTAACGCCCAAAACAAATGACAGTTAGTAAATCGACAAAAGCTCGATTAAAATATTATTGTATTTTGTGGATAGCGATATGATGTGGGCGCTTTCGGAACACTTCCCCCGCGCAGTTCAACCGCCATGGCAGTGGCCACACCGAAGAGCTTGGATTCCTGTCCAATTCATCGCCTTCTTCCTTAAATTCGTTCTCAATCCTCGGCCAACCAACGAGAGAATGCGAGGCAGGATGAGTTTTCTCCACCAATTTCAAGAAGGTCTGCAATTTTGACCTCTTCGCTACCTTTCATTCTCGTTTCTGTATATCCGTCCAAGGCAATAGAGATAAGGAACAAGAGGACCATTCCTCTCGAGGACTGTATCACCAGCGGTTAGTCAACTCAGTCCTTCGTGTATCACTATCTTCTGAATTTATTCTCAATACTTTCGATAAGTTGAAGATTCCAAGTCTTGATTCAGTAATTGCGACATATTCTTCCATTTCCGCATCTACATAGTATAACTCTACTGAAATGAAATGGAAGTTTGATTCGCTAAGAGTTTCTTGTGGAATTTATAGTTTTATTGCCTGCACTATGAGATATTAGGAATATAGACCTACACATATTATACTTTTGAATCACCTATGACTATACCTTCGAAGCTCTTTGTTCAAGACTCGAGGATTCTATTAGCATAGTTAAATTAAGGGTGTAGCTCTTATACCATGTTATGAATCACATCCCCTCCAAAGTGGTATGCTATTATCCACTTTGAGCGTACTTTTGGTTTTCCCAAAAGGCCTTATACCAATAGAGATGGTGTTCTTTACTTATAAACTCATTATTTTTCTCTTAATTAGTTAACGTGGGACTATTCCTTTCAATAATCCAAACGTGGGAGATCTATGATGTTTGTTGATAAAAGAAAAAATATATCCATCGAAATTTCACATGTAATGGTTGGAAGTTCTGGATTATGAGGAGCATTTCTATGTAGCTTTCTTTGATTCACATTGGCAATGACATTTTGATTGCCGCAAATGTACTGAAGTACTATGATGTCGAGGAGGGAAAGGGTCCTGTGGCAGAGAAGGGTTCCGCAGTTCAGGTAATCTGCTTGGAAATTTTTGAGGCCTACTTTGCCTGTCTTTTTAATTTTAGCTTTATGAGATCAATTTGCATGTGAACGCATGAAAACGCGGGATTAAATCTGGTCCAACTCCCTGGTTTTGTAGTCATATCATACAATCTGATCTCAGAACCTTGTACTGAAAAAAACTATTTCTTTTGATCATGAAACATGTGCGCATATATATATATATATATATATAGGTTTTCACTTTTTCTCCCGTCAGTGATTGTCTATTTTTCAGTCATGCGCATTACCCTTTAGATTACAAGGGTTTCAAATATAACCTGTTCAAGTAACTTCATTAAGGGAAAATACCAAGAAAACTTGTATATTGTTTAAGAGCAAAATTGGAAGCTTAAATATACTTTTAAAGTGAATAGTTGGTTTGAAATAATACAAAAGTCGTAAAGTGTGTATTTCAAAAGTTTAAAAGATTAATTGCAGAATAAATTTTTTTTATAAAGTTTATGGGCAAAAGCCATAATTTAGCCCCTTTTTTCTGTATGCAAGCATAATGAGTCAAGGAATCCAAGAAATGGTCAAGTCAAGTGGCCTTTGGTTTACTTATGTTATTTATGTCAATTATTGCGTGGAGGGTTGAGATAGAGATAAGATAACAACTTTTTGGTTGTATGGTTATGAGATGTACATGTAATCCTACTTTGTATAGGCAGCCTGGCGCTACTTTTGAATTGAACATCGAGCTTTTGGAAGTGGTGCGGCCGGAAAAAGGAGGGGCCTGACATGATTCGGGAGCCAGGTTTTTGATCCCCACTGAACTAGAAGTTAAGCATTAGCGGACTGATTGATTCTTTTGTTAGGACGAGGAGAAGCACAAGCAGGTATTGGGTAAGGGGGAGTTTGTTTTTTTTTTTTTTCAATGGAACCTTCAGTTCCAGGTATTGGGTAAGGGGGAGTTTTTTCTTCAATGGAACCTTCAGTTCTTTACTTGCTGTTGTTCTAAACATGTTAAGACCCGTGGTTTGGTATGGACTCATTGCGCCCCTCTAAAATGTAACAAAAGCTCCACTCTTGTTAGTGCCAAACGCACCAAATTTCTACTTCGGTCTTTGGCCATGCCACCTTTCCTCTGCCCCCACCCCCTTCTTTCTCGCTTTAGCTTTAACTTTAGCTTTTGGGTCTGGTTGGATATTAATTTTTAGGAGTTAGAGGACGGCTCTGATAGGGAAAACGTGACAGCCTTATTTGTATATTGCCTATTGTTTCATTAGCAAAAGGAAAAGCAGAAGTTTGAAGTGTGTGGATATCGTTTTCATAGAGAGACGCAATAAATTGGTGTTGTTGGAAAGGGGGATTGGATTGGATGGTTGTCCCAAGTGTCATATTGTGGAGCAGAATCAAAGATTTCCCTTTCTTGATGCGTCGAAAGTGCCTTGTCATTGCTAGGATGCCTCTGGGCTTCCACCCCACCTTCCTGTGAAACCTCCTCCTCCTCCTCCTCCTCCTCCACCACCGACTCAAATCAGCAGACAGTTTGTCTGCGCAACACGTTGTTGGTTTCCCCCAACCTCGGATTCAAGTCCACGTCACCCCATTCTACAGCAAAAATGATGTCGTTTTTGAGCGAAATAGTGTGTTGTGTTCTACTCTGAGTGTGAACCAACAGGAGTGATCCACGAAAGAGAAAGGACTTGCACCGTGTTTCAGAGTATCAAACCACTAAATTACTGCTTGTTTGATTGATGGTTTTGTGATTTCTTAGATGACTAATAAATAATACTGGTTTTGGATTGAACCCAAATGCCATAGGGGAAAGGCTTTAGTTTTTGTTCACTCTTTTGATACGAAACCGAATTCGTGGTTTTCAATTATATCAGTCATCATGTTAATTAAATGAGTATTAATTGATGTATGGCGTTGGTTGTTTCACGATTCCAGCAAAGTTCCATTTTTTTAATTGTCTTCTAATCTTGTTTCATTTATGTACTTTATTTCTTTCCCCTTCTGAACCCAACTAAAAGAGCTCTAACTTCTATTTTATTTTAGAATTTTGAATGAAGCTCAACAGGAAATTGAGGTTGGATAGTGTGTTCTGTGATGAAAGTGAGTCAGCCTTTTCCCATCATCCAAACACACAAGGCACAAAGCTCAAAACACAAGAGACCAAGGAAGGAGCAATGAGTTGGATGCTTATAATTCCCTAAGATGTAACTCAGAGATTATTTTTGGATTGAAGCTTTTTGGAGTAAGCATTGTTGAGCTGATGTTCTGCACGAAAAACATTCGAAATTTCAATCCTTACCCTCCCTGTTAAACTAAAAAGGAAATTAAAAGAAACAAAAATATATATATTAGTGTATTTGTGGAGTATAATATAAAATAAAATTCAGTAAATAATTGACATGTGGGCGAGTCTAATCACGAGCTCCCAAGGTGGAAAATGGAAAGCCCGATTCCCGTGTCCCAGTATAAAACCCCCCTCAAACTCCCATCGAAACGACAAACGTTACGCCCCCAGTTGATTCAAAACGACTTCCCTTCCCATCTCTTATTGTATACCCTCCTCCCTTCTCTCGCCGCCGCTTCAAATGCGTCCCTTCAGGTACCTCGCCGGTGTGAACTCCTCCGCCATCTCCGACTCGGCTGAGCCCCAGACATATGACTCTGACTTCGTCATAATCCTAGCTGCCCTCCTCTGTGCCTTGATATGCGTTCTCGGTCTCGTTGCTGTTGCCCGCTGCGCCTGGCTACGCCACCTAGCCGGCAATGTCAGCGGCGGCGCTTCCACTCGTCCTCCTCCTCCTCCTGCGTCCAATAAAGGTCTCAAGAAGAAGATCCTGAGGTCTCTTCCGAAGTACAACTTCACCGCTGAGTTTTCTGCTCAGTTCTCAGATTGCGCGATCTGCCTCGCGGAGTTCGCAGTCGGTGATGAAATCCGGGTGCTGCCGCAGTGCGGCCATGGATTTCACGTGTCCTGCATCGATATGTGGTTCCGATCTCACTCTTCATGTCCTTCGTGCCGTCAGATTCTTGTGGTAAGTCAGTGCCAGAAGTGCGGTGGTTTTCCGGCAAGCTCGAGTTCGAACGGTGGGACGGAATCCAGAGTGAAAGAGGAAGGAGATGATAAGACGAGTAGGTTCTTACCTTAGCCCTAGGGTTTTTCCTTTAACTACTGCGATTCTTGTTCCTTCCTTCCTTCCTTCCTCCGTGTTGTAAATAGCTTTCTTAATCAAATTCATGTAATTACTAGAAATTGTTTATGAAATCAAGTTGAAGCAAAGGCGATTCCAATGAATTTGAAATCGGCCGCTCTGGTAGATCTGTTATGATTATTGACTTCAAATCTGTGGTCGATTTTCAGCCTCGGATTGAAATGGAGATGGCATGAATTTACAGTTCAGGCGAGGAGTTGAAATCAAAAGGGGCAAAGGGGAAACTCCAAACAAATGGATATTTTGTTCCCATTTTCTGAAAATGAATCCTCTTTTAAAAATATAGTTTTTTTTTTTTTTTTTTTTTTTTTTTTTTTTTTTTTTTTTTTTTTTTTTTTTTT